CCCCTCCCGTCCCTCCACCCCCGTTCCTGGCCCCAAGGCAGCTTCCACTAAATCCTCGGTTCGCCTAGGGCCGGTCGCTGTCCCTTTTCTGCTGGCCCGGCCCACAGCACTGCGGCCCACGTGTACGGGCCGTGAGTCCACCCGTGCCAAAGCGCAGAGGAGCCCGGCGTGTTCTGCAGCCCTGGGCTGTACGACCTCAGGACGCGTCTCAGAAGCCTCCGAGCGGCCGCACGCCCCAGGCTCTGCGCATCCCCTTTCCAAACTCTCCTGCGCCCCTCGATTCCCTGCCTCTGGCCGCAGCACCGCTCCCAACCCCTGATACCCGCCCTATTCCCGGGCCCTCTGGCCGCAGCACCGCTCCCAACCCCTGATACCCGCCCTATTCCTGGGCCCTCTGGCCGCAGCACCGCTCCCAACCCCTGATACCCGCCCTATTCCTGCCGCAGCACCGCTCCCAACCCCTGATACCCGCCCTATTCCCGGGCCCTCTTGTGCGGCAGAGGCACTGCTGTGTGGACTTAGGGCAGTGATTCACTCCTCACCAGCTGGAGCGCCACACGTCAGCGAGCCTTCACCTGTGTCTGGACGGCTTCAGGATTTACTCGTCTCCTTTTGGTTTGTGGGAGAGAAGACCTGCCTCCCAGTCGCGGGGACAGTTTTCTGCTGTCCTGTGTCACCATCCTGCAGTCTTCTCGAAGCTCCCATCCCGCCCTGGTCTTCCACATGCTGTTCTATTGGCGTCCTCTGTACCCATTCTCCAGGCCAAATGAGTCATGCACACTTAATGCAAGGGACGCTGTGTCTCTGTTCCCGGTACACCAGAACTTTGATTTATCAAGTCGTTTAAAGACAGCTGAAAGTGCGTCTGACAGGTCTGAGACCTTGACCCTCCAGGAGGGAAGAAGTAAGGTTTATAGGAAGCATTTTAGTAATACTAGAAACTAAAGCCACTTGGACCTGGGCAGGAATTAGCGACTAGTTTTGTTACTTGTAAAGATGATCTCTACCGTGTTTACACAATGGACTGTTTGTGACTTCATAGGGAGAGACATCGACCTATTACCTATTTACCCTAGATAAAAGACAAAAGGCTCCGTAGTCTTCCTTGGTCAACCAGTGAATTAAGTGGAGTTACTTACAGGAGCAGGAGTGCCTGGAATAACTGCCCACCAGTGTGCCCACCAGTGTACCCACTAACATGGGTATGGCTCACAAAGGCTGAATCACTGGCGCCCCATGCATAACTTGGAGACTGCTCCACCAGTGGCCCCCAGCAGGTATTTGCTGCTTATGTAATCATGAGGGAGAGGGTCCTTATGAATATACATGAGTTACAACATAGTGAGCCTCCCAAGCCTTCCTCTTTCTCCCTCCAGGAGAAAGAGTTCACTCTAGAAGAAACAGCTACACGTTCCACAGTCTTCCTGTGGCTCATAATTCTTTTTGCAACCCACTTGTGATGGTTCCTGAACCTTGGAGGGGGTTATATAGAAGTCTGATTATTTCCTTGCATTTATGGCTGGGCCACTATGCTTTTTGTATTTTTTTTGCATTTATGGTTGGGTCACTTATTCACGGCAATCTGACTGGCTATGAGTCTTCCCAGTAACTATTACCCACTGCAAAAAAAGCTTTCCTCCACTACTGACACTGACAGAGCAGTTATCTGTGGGTGAGAACACAAATTTAGAAGACAATTTGACAGGCACACCATATTCATTTTCTTTTCTGTGTGTGTGTGTGTGTGTGTGTGTGTGTGTGTGTGTGTGTGTTTGGCTTGTTTACTTTTATTTTATGAGTGTTATGCCTGCATATGTGTAAGTGCATCCATGTCATGCAGTGCCCACGGGGGACAGAAAAGGGCATTGGATCCCGTGGAACTGGAACTATGGACGGTTGTTAGCTGCCAAGTATGTGGTGGAAACAGAACCTGGGTCCTCTGCAAGAACAGCCAGTACTCTTAACTGCTGAGCCATTTCTCCAGCCCCAATATTTATTTATTTTATTGATTGATTTTTTTTGTTTTTTGTCTTTTTGAAGCAGTCTCCCTGTAGCCCCAGCTTTCCTGGAACTCACCATGTAGACCAGGCTTTGAACTCCCAGAGATCCGCCTGCCTTTGCCTCCCAAGTGCTGGGACTACAGGCGTGAGCCACCACATCCGGCTTATTTATTTTTATTTTATGTGTATAAATGTTTTGCCTACATGTATTTAAGTGCACCATGTATGTGCAATGCCCAGAAGAGGGTGCCGGATCACATGGAACTGGAGTTACAGATGGTTGTCAGCCACCATTATGGGTGCTGGGAACCAAACTCACATCCTCCACAAGAGTGGCCTGTGCACTTAACCTCTGAGTCATCTCTCCAGCCCCACCTTGTGTGCCACTGTTAGACCAGAAAACACATCTTGCCTAGCATGATGGTAGTGTAGCATGCAGGATCCATAAACAAATAAGACTAGAGGGAATAACTGTGCCCTAGCAGTCTACAATTCAGCTCAGTGCCAGCCTGATTTCTCCATGCCCTGCAAAGTATCCTCAGCAAAGGGGACTGACCACCCAGGTTTGATGGACAACCAACAGTAGTGAAATTGCCTTTCTGGTTTATGGGGTTTCAGAGGTTCCAACAAGGTAACCTGTCTGTTAGCCATGGACCCACCATTTGGTGAAGCCACTCCATTTGGGGTGAACAATGACAAGTCAAAAAATGTCCTAGTTTCTTCATTGCTGTGACAAAATACTTTGACCAATACCAACTTGGGGAGGAAAGGGTTTATTTGTCTTACATCTACCAGGTCACAGTTTATCCAGGAGCCCAAGGTAGGAACTCAGGGCAGGAACCTGGAAGCAGGAGCTGGAGCACAGGCCATGGAGGAATGCTGCTTACTAGCTTGCTCCCCTGGCCCCTGCTCAGCCTGCTTTCTTATGTAACACAGGCCTACCTGCCCAGGGGTGGCACCACCCACAGTGGGCTGGGCCCTCCCACATCACTCAACAAGAAGATGCCCCTCAGACACAGCCACAGGCCAGTCCAATAGAGGCAATTCCCCAATTGGGGAAGGTTCCCTTTACCCAGGTATGTCAAGTTGACACTAAAGCTATCCAGCACACAAAATTAATTTGGTTCCTAGAACTAAAGTGAATTGTTTTTCTGGAGTTGTGCCCTATCAGCCCCCAGTAATGGATGGCCTTGAGAGATGATGCTCTTTTTTTTTTTTTTGTCTTTTTGAGACAGGGTCTCCCTGTAGCCCCAGCTGTCCTGGAACTTACTGTGGAGACCAGGCTGGCCTTGAACTCACAGAGATCCATCTGCCTCTGCCTCCTGAGTGCTGGGATTAAAGGCATGTGCCACCATGCCAGGCTGAGATGACGCTCTTTAACGCACTCTTCCCTGGTTACTTCTAGTAACCCCCAACTGCAGACCCCAAAAGGAAGATTCTCAACCCCTTGTCCCTTC